ATTTAATCGTCGTTTTTTGAAAAAACAAATCATATTAAATTCAATTTTAAATTCAGAAGTTTAAAAAAAGGACTATTTTCCACTTTTTAAAAATTTGATTTTTCTCTTGAGCGTGTATGCTGTGTTACACTGTTTAACAGTGTTAGTGACAGGTAACGGATACTAATATTTGTATTTTTTTGTGGCTTATAGTATTCATTGCATTCTATTTATATGCTATTCTAAACATCTTTTCAATAATGTACCGCCGTTCTGTTCAGTAGAAACAATAAATAGGTGTATATGTGTGAAATTCTGCTTACATAATTTAATATCCATCTTCTGTCTCTTTACCTTTTTCTACGCCTGGCATACAGCAAGGACCTCACGTCCAAATTCACGTGAGCAAGTAGGTTTGATGGCTCTTTTGTAATTCGTTATGCCCATTTGTTGACACTCATCACTTTTGCGCACAGTTATTTGGTTTTAATTATTAGTCATTTTTGCTATGGGATATTCATTTAATTAAACTCGGCCTGTGTTATGTGATGGTTTGTTTCTGCTATTATTTTAAAATATCCGTTTTATTATTATAAAGATTATTATCATGTCTTAGTTTTTCACATATTTTTTAGATTGTTTCTAATTACTAGAAACATTTTTCATTTTTTGACTTCGTATGTTACCTTCGACTTTCATATATAAATTTTTGATTCTTCGTTTATACGTTCTTACTTGAATGCCTTTTTATGCACTTGATTTCTTACATTCCTTACTTCGGGGGCATTCGATCAGAATATGAAGTATGCTGAAAATAGATACTTATGAAGAGGTCGTTTAATGTCTATTGTGAGGAGGTATTGAAGTTAAGTGACAGGAAACGAATAATAATATTTATATTTTTTGTGGCTTGTAGTCTGTAAGTAGCATCGCTGCTTACAGACTGCAAGCCAAAAAAAAATGAATCCCAGTATGTTTATCGAAGACTTAAATTAATTCAGAGGTTAAAGCAGAATTTGGGATAATAAAATGTTATCCTTTTACTAAGCTATTGTAATGATTGGGCGAATTATCTTACTGCAAACCAAATATCTTGAAAATATTGAAGATAATGAAGTCTTCATTCTCATCAAATCTTGATTTTCGAGAAGTGGTGTAAAATATAAAGTTAGTGATTGCGTATCTATGCTCCGCTCTCTCTTATCAGTCTTCATACTTTTATCTTAGATTTACTTACCACGGGTTAATTCCGAATGTTGAATTCAATTTTTTAATAGTATTAGTAGTGTATTCGATGGGGTGCATTCAGAAAAATTTGTGGCCAAGTCATTAAAACTTAAAAGTTAACTCAGCATTTATTTACTTGACTTCGGAATTTCTTTCTTTTTGCCATTCTGATATTTCACTTCCAGTTGTTCGCTCTCGAATTTGAATGACATATACGTTTCATGACTTTGATTCCTTAATGTTCTCTTGAATAACACCTTATCATTTGAATTTGTTATTTTTCCAAATCATTTCACTATTTTATGGTGTTCTATATTTGAAGATTCAAATTCACATCGATTTTGTTTGTTAACAGATATTTAGACTATATTTTTTTAAATTTCCTTTTTCTTGTAGTTTATTATTGAGTATAAAAGTTGGTTGTCTGACCTGCTTATCAAGTTTATAGTAATTTATGCTTACTGTAAAACTTCAGTATTGCATTTTGCGAAATAAGATTTATGTTTCATCCAATGAAATTGTAAGTGAACCCTTCTGATTGTGTCATATTTTTGCAAAAGTATTTTTTTGCACACGAGGAAGCTATGTTTTTCATGCTTGTTTTTATTGTGTTGCAAACTTTGGTCCTTTATTCAGGTGTTCTGTTTACATTTTTTCAACTCCAACTCAATGACTTTGCGTATGTTCACATAATTAGAGTTTAAAAAAGCAAGATTTTAGCTGCATTTATAGGTTTACAATTGTAAATAAAAACCAAGTGCAGTAAAGTGAAGCGAAATTGCTGACGACATCGTTGGCTGGGACATCAACGTCCATCATTTCTACTATCAACATTTACAATTTACTGATCACTAGACGCTTCTGTTAATTACTGTATAACTTAAATTTGTAATTGCGGTCATTATTCGGTAACTATTACTAATTTAATACGAGATAATAGCTGACATAATAGACACAAGTGCCATTTGTTTATTCATTGAATTTGGTGTGTAGAAAGAGAGTAGATGAGAAGCAGCGAGAGATTCATAGCTTCATTATTAAACTGATGGTATGAAGGAGAAAGAGCAAACTTCGATATGTGTCGATGAGGAGAAGAATGGTACCAACGCAGGTGCGAGCAGTAAAGACGTCGTGGACGATTCCTGCTTCAAAGCACCTCTCCTCTTGCCACCAAGGTACTTCTAACTTTGTGCAGGTTAGCACCTGCTTGATTTTAGCAGTGTTTGTTACCATGTCAAAAGTGATCTAATTATATCTCTGTTGTGAACAAAGAAGTTGAAAATTATACAATTTAATTGCAGTAACAAAGCAGAAACGAAGAATAGATTAAATGTATATTCTTATTTTTATTCACTTGAGTATTTAAAACGTCAAACGAATAAATATGTATTTATATAGCTAAAAGTTATTTTTGAAAGTATAGATTATCGGTATTCCTTTTTCCAGTATGTGTTAACTTTCTTTTCTCATCCTACTGTACTTTCTTTAAAGAAGGATGGAAAACTTATTTGTTGATGGTAGTTGAGTGAATGGTTGTGTTAGCGAATTAAAAAAATTTGATACAACTGATTTCCGTCAAGTTAAATGGTCGACATTTTTCAACTTTTTTTGCTTTATCAAAACAAATATGTTCACTACTTTGCGTTGTTCTGCTCATTCTCTCTCCATCATTCATTATACACTAACTACTGCATGGTTACGTAGTTTGAATTATGACACACAGTACAAGAGGCAAAAAAGAATGGTATTTATAAATCCAAAATGTTAATATGAGGCTAGCTTAGGGCTTGTTCTGGAGGGAATTTAGGTAAGTATACGCTAAGTTGTGTTACGGTTTGCTAGTTCGGATTAATCTGAAGTTGCTAAAAATATTTGTCGACGAATTTATCCGAACGTGAGCTAGCATTAGAACATAATCTCTTGGATTAAGCATTTGAGAATCATATGAAGCGTACTTATATTAAGATTTATGTTGTAAGGATGCTTGCAAAGCATTTGTTGATATTTTTGTATTTTGCATATATATAGTCATTTTCTTGTCTAAAATATGCATCAATAAGTTCTTAAGAGCTCATTTATATTCAGGGCATAATTACTTTAATATAATTACTTTAATAATAATTTTGGTGCTAAGTGTTTTAGTCAACAGTATCATGCTAGTCAGTGATCAGTCAACAAGGAGCTGTAAATTATTTTT